TTTGTTCCTGATTATTTACAACGTCGCACAGTGGGCCAGATTTAAAAAATTTTGGCCAACAATATATAGAAGCCGAATTTGAAGAAACTAGAACTAGATTTTGGTGTGCAACAATAACCTAAGGCATATATTATATGAGGAAATTTTTAATAGTCACATGCCACACCCCCAGTGGGTGTGGCCCTCTGCGACTTTTCAATTTCAACGAAACCATGTCATGTGACATATCATTTTTCTCAGCTCAACGAGGGGACCTCGACAGAATCATTATAATTTTGACACCACACCCCCAGTGGGTGTGGCTCTAAGCAAATTGTCGATTTTAACGAAACCATGTAGTGTGATATGTCATTCTTTTCAGCTTGATTAGAGGTATCGACGGAATACCTTAAATTTAGAAAACCACACCCCCAGTGGGGGTGGTTCCCAGAAAATTGTCGATTTTAATAAAACCATGCCATGTGTTATACCATTCTTCTCAGCTCAACAAGGATGTTTCGACGGAATACTAAAAATCAGCGACTTTTCGATTTTAACTAAACCAGGTCATGTCATGTAATAAATCATTTCTCTTAACTCAACGAGGGGATTTCGACAAAATAATTTGAATTGCATTACGTAAATTAAGAAAAACCCACTTTCAAACTTTGTAATTTTTTACAATTTCTTGCTGCATTTTTCAAAATTTTGAAATAGCATACAAAGCCTTAAACTTTTACAAATATATTTTTCTAATCTTGTTTTGTAATTTTTGAGAAACAATGGTTTTGTTCTTTCATTTTTGATATAGCGTTAAAATTATATAACATAAAAGTTTTTGACAATGAAAATGCCCTTTAAACCGCCACAACCGAAAACGCGAGCCTTCATGGAAACGCAAAAATACGGGTAGTGCTGTTTCGGTGTGGGAGAAATTTAAAATCGGAGAAAACAACGTTAGCTCGCTGAATTCCGCACCCACTGGGTGGCGTGGTTTCAAAATTCTAATTATTCTGTGGATATCCACTCGTATAGCTGAGAAAAATGATATACATAGTCGGAAACACTCAAGTGTCAATGATGCAATACGCTATAAATATTCTAATTTTCCATTTATCAATTTCTGGTTCCCTGCACTGGAAAGCCAATGAAATTCTAATCCAGAAACAATGCTTAATCATCAAAATTAATATCTTATGTGAAAAATCGCTAACTAAAAAAGAGCCAAACAGACCCTGCCAAAAGTACGCACTTGTTTTCATGAAAAAAATGCTCGGGAATATGAGTAATCATTTTTTCTAAAGCTTTATTATTTCGGGGGATTTAGACCATGCGATTATCTTTAATTTAAGCCCTTTGTCGTTGCTGAAAGGGGTGTGGTCTGTTTGTTGTGGTCATATCCATGCGGTGTGTGAAAGTCACAAAAATGAGAAAAAAACGCTTTTTGACAACTTTTGCATCGTATTTTGGAACAACTACCGCTTAAAAGGTCCTACCATTATTTTTGAGTAGTACATGTATCCCGGATTCTACACCATAAAAGACGCCAACTTCCGCGTCATGGTTGGCCTTGGTTAATGATTTCTGTAGAAAAGGGGAATTTTTCCCCTTTTTGTACTAACTTGCTCCATGCAAATCCAGGGATGACATTTGTGAAGATTTTATTTTTTGATAGACAACTCACATATATGGAGCGTATAGAAAACTTGATTGGGGGTTATAATATACGTTAAAACTAAGAAAGATCTCAAGTGGAAAACTCTCTTCGGAAGAAAACAAATTTCGCGTACCTCGCAAAAAAAATTTGGGGGTTTTTAATCTTTCTCAATTTTGAGAAGTAGTAAGCGTATGATGGTTACCGCATTTCGAAACCCTGACCACAAGGTTATTTATGCGCTGCATAATGATTTTTTATTTTGACCCTCTGGTCTCTGGGGTCACTTTTAACAAATATATCGTTCATTTGCCAGGTTCTGGCTTTGAAAGCTTTGGGGGCAATTTAAGATTTTTTAGGTGGGTGTGGTTTACGTTTTGTTGTAGCCCAAGGTTCTACTCACATTTTAAGTATGCACTTGGCTACGTCAGACTTGAGTTTGAGATATTTTAAAGATTTTTCAATTGAAGAATTTTTGCTCATTCTCGAAGTGAGCAAAAAATCGCCGACATCCTCATTTCAAACTTTTCTATTTGGGCCGTTTTTTCGAATAATTTGGAATCGAAATCGCATGGGCTTTCTAATGTACGTATCCGTTTTTAATTCTGACGGGTACTTTTGGTGAAATCAGCTGTTGACACTTGAGTGTTTCTGACTATGTATCACATGATATTGTTCTCGTTAAAATTGAGAATTTTCTTAGAGCCACACCCACTGGGGGTGTGGTGACAAAATTTTAATCATTCTATCGAGATCCCCTCGTTGAGCTGAGAAAAATGATATGTCACATGACATGGTTTCGTTGAAATTGAAAAGTCGCAGAGGGCCACACCCACTGGGGGTGTGGTTTCTAAACTTTGATGAATCTGTCGAGATTCCCTCGCCGAGCTGAGAAAAATGATATATAACATGAAATGGTTCCGTTAAAATCGAAAAGTCGCCGAGGGCCACACCCACTGAGGGCGTGGCATGTGAAGATTTGAACATTGCTAGTAGTGGCCAGGCTGTCCAGGTATTTTTTCGACATGCACTTCGATTTTATTGTTTGAAATTTTGCGGTATTCGTTAATTTGATTCTACAAGTTGCTTGACCTTGTGACCTTAATTTCGAGGGGGTGCGGTCGAATTAAAAAAAGCTGAAAATGTATGTTTCGCCCATTGACCTAGGGTTTCCAGAACAGTCGCCACTTTGAAAATCGGTCAACAATTGGAAAAGTAATCCGAATTTCAACTTTCAATGTTGTTAAGCATGACAAGATCGGCCATCAAGCCTTTCAGCAAGAAATGTCTTTAATTTTGATTCCCCTACCAGAGGGTGTGGTTTTCACACCCAAAATACGTTCCTGCTACCAACTCAGTTTGCTGAGAAAGTCCAATGAGTGAGTATACTTGAAGCATACTTGAGTAAAGGCAATTCAACTTAAATTTGATTTTTTTAACTTTAACGACTAAAAGTGGGTGTGGTTGGAATAAAGCTTGATGGTCGCAGACGGTCGCAGCAGGGTATACTTAGCACACCATGGGCTATTTAATGGCATGAGTTTTGAGTCCGCAATGCGTGAAGTTTTGTGAAGTTTTTCGAAAATGTGTTCGCCCTATCTTCGTAATGTATTATGAAAAGTTTACCCCACGGGTACACCCGAGTGGGTGTAACATTTGGTTTTATATTTTGCATGGAGGACATGTTGGTTCTATACTACACGTTGAAATATGTGAATAGCCAATTCAAGATACCGCCTTAATGGCCACATTTTTAGGCTCCTGGCCCATTGTGCGTCGTGCTTGAAAAAATTTGAAAACTTACTTTTCCCGTAGAAGAAATTAAACTGTGTTAAGTTTCAGCTACTTAGTTATCTAATACTTTTCTGGTATGAATTTTATCCGCTTTTTATAGCAGTTCCTGAAGGTAAGTTATTTAATCTCGTACGTCAAAGGAAATGTCTGATTATGCAAACTACTAAATATGAGAATCGTAATTGGTCTCAGCTTTTGGCATTGTTTTCTTTCGGTTGCAGAAAATATTTCCGGAGCAAGTGTCGTATATAGATTTTATTTCATATTACGCAATATAAAATTCCATGACAGAGGTCGACGCCGCCGATCGCACGGGGCCGCGCAGCCAAAATTTTATGCGCTGCCGCCAAAAAATTTAAATTCTAATTTAATCAACATTGGGACGCCGGGCCGGCAACTCCGACGCCGACGGCAAATCATCAAAATTTGGCACCACTGCCGCCGAAAATGTGGGAATCGACTCCTGTAACATGATACTTGAGTAGGTCGATGACAACAAATTTTCGTCGACGGTGGTGCCAAATTTTGATTCCAAATCTCTTTTCCAAAGCTCTTTGACAAATTTTTGAAGAGTCGCCTGCCCGTAGTGGGGTCGCAATGTTGAAGAAACGAGAATTTTAATTTTTAGGCGGGGCGGCGGCGGTGCATAAAATAGTCATATGGCAACGGGGCACCGTACGATCGGCGGCGTCGACCTCTGTCATGGAATTTTGTATTACATAATATGAAATAAAAAATATGTTCTACAATTTCTACGTAAATAGTTTATGCAACCTAGATAAAGAAAACAATGCAAAAAGCTCAGGCCAATGACGATAAAATTATTACGTTGCGTTGTGAGACCGGATATAATCGTGTAACTGGTGATTGAATTTAAATTGTTGTTAAATATTTACTGCCTTCTAAAATTATGCAATACCCGAAAGTAAAAAGTTATTCCAGTACAGTACAGTGAGCAAAAATACATGGTTGCGACACTTGGTGCATAATCGTTTGCATTTTGGGTTTGGAACGGCTACTATTTGAAGCTAAAATATCTAGAGAGAAGAAATTTTCATAGAAAATTTCTTGAAAGTTTATATATCAGAAAATGTCCCAACGCCATAAATCAGGACAACGGAAAACAACTGAATCCAATTTGGTCATCTTTAATGCTGCCACTCATCAAACACCCGTGACAACAATTATAAACAACAAATTAATGTAACTCTCATGTATGTGACATATCGTGTTTTAATTTCCAAATATTTTGTCCCTGATGATGACACGAGTTCCGTGCCGAAAGCTTGGGAAATAAATTCAATTTCTTCCTTCAACCATGTCATCCGAGAATTCTTCTTTAAATTATGAGTATCATGGCTGGAAGTCACTCAAAATAATAATCAACAGACAATTCGGAGTGTCTATAAAAAACTGCGTTAAATTTTTGGAAAAAGACGAAAACCGATTGATAAAACTCAAAAATGATATCATCTTCCTAAAACGATGCCGTTACCAAAACTTGACCCCACCAGGCATGTAAATCCGTAATCATTGGACCCACATCACCAAATCACCGCAGATGTTCATTAACATGGAAAGAACCATGATGAAACAACAGATTCATCATAATTTTGCCGAAATGAAGAAACTAGACGAGTCAATCAAAATCAAAAGACGCCGTCTCATGATCATACCCCAAGATTTACGAGAACAAATTTTAAAATATATTGAAGACGGGAAAACGACTCTCAATATTCAAGTCAAAACACGACAAATTAAGAAATTTGAAAATCTCGTCAGAAAAAATACGACACCACCAAATATGACAAGAAGACAGACATCTCTTCCCAACGAAATTCCTCATCATGAAATTAATATGGAAAATAGTGTGATGAATTTATCCCATCGAACGCTAACCAATGATGAGAAAAAAGCTCTTCAACTTGGCCTCAACTACGCCCTCCCATATTTCAAACACAAAGACCTAATAATTGAAGCGGGGATCAACATTGAATTATGTCTTCATGAATTTGACACCAATGATTCACACCAAAATCAAGTACGATCCGGTGTCGCAAGAATATTGCATTCAGAAATAAATAAACCAGACAATGTCTCGCAACAATTTGGATGGCTGAAACAAATATGCACAAATCTCAAACAAGACAAAACCATAAAAATTGTCCCAGCAGACAAAGGAAATATGACAGTAATAATGAACACAACGGAATACGAAAACAAGATTCAAGACCTTCTTAGCGCTCAAAACTATTCGATCCTACCCAACGACCCCACCATATTAATAGAGAAAGAAATTCACACATTAGCCAAAAACCTACTCAAACTTAAAAGACTAGATAAAGAGGAATATAACTTCATCATACCATCGAACTCAAAGATTCCTCGTTTTTATGGTCTACCCAAAGTCCACAAAGAAAATCTACCTTTCCGCCCCATGGTCGACTTCCGTAACTCCCCGACTTACAACTTAGCCCACTTCCTGAACAAGATCCTCAAATGCGTCACATCCAAATTCCCGAATACATTGAAAAATTCATACGAGTTTGCAGAGAAAATCAAGAACTTTGTTGTCCCCCCTGAACACGAATTTGTCTCATTTGACGTGATCTCACTATTTACACGCGTCCCTATTCAACAAACACTAAATTACATCAAACGACGACTAGATTCCTGCACAGAATGGAAAACTAAAACTAAATTAACTTCGAATGAATTAATGAAATTAATAAAAATCACAGTGAACTCAAATTACTTCACATGGAAAGGAACAATCTATAAACAAAACGAAGGTACCTCAATGGGCAGTCCGATATCACAAATTTTTGCTGAATTTTGCCTTCAAGAACTTGAAGAAAAATTGATAATCAATAATAAAGACATTCCATTTTATCAACGTTTTGTGGACGACTCTGGAGCCTGTACAAAAATAGGGACCCAGCAAGACATTCTCCAATCCCTTAACAGTTTTCATCCCAGTATCCAATTCACAATCGAATCTGAAGAAAACATGCAAATCCCTTTCTTGGATGTACTTTTATCAAGAGACGAAGATGGCACAATCCATAAAAAAGTTTACAGAAAACCGACACACACAGGAAGATATCTTAACTACCACTCATACCATCACCCATCACAAAAGATAGCCGTAATTGATGCTCTAACTTATCGAGCACTGAAAATTTGCGATGATGAGTTTTTAGAAGAAGAACTACAAACTATAACTGAATCATTAAAACAGAACGGTTATCCAAGAAACCTAATTCAAAAAAGAATCAACAGAATGAAAACCAAATTCCAAAACCAACTCAACACAGACCAAATTCCCGAAGAAAAACCTCCTAGGATCATCCTTCCTTACATGACCAATCACACATCGACTAACATCCTATCTACGCAAAAAACTGAATTGTGATTTTGGGTATTTAACGGGGAAGAAAATAAAACAGATCATTTGCTCACACAAGGAAAATCCATCACCAGATAAGGTAGGAATTTACAAAATAAGATGTTCATGTCCTGCTATATACATAGGTGAGACCAGTCGCCCCCTACAGCAAAGAATTAAAGAACACATGAATGACATCAGAAAGAAAAACGTAAAATCTGCCGTAGCACTCCACATCCTTGAAAATCCAAACCACATCATGACCCAAGACTCAGCAAGTCTAATCATTCCAGAGAGAAATTTTCTATGAAAATTTCTTGAAAGTTTATATATCAGAAAATGTCCCAACGCCATAAATCAGGACAACGGAAAACAACTGAATCCAATTTGGTCATCTTTAATGCTGCCACTCATCAAACACCCGTGACAACAATTATAAACAACAAATTAATGTAACCCTCATGTATGTGACATATCGTGTTTTAATTTCCAAATATTTTGTCCCTGATGATGACACGAGTTCCGTGCCGAAAGCTTGGGAAATAAATTCAATTTCTTCCTTCAGCCATGTCATCCGAGAATTCTTCTTTAAAATATCTAACAAAAATTGCATGAAATCAATGCCTAGGCGTGTCCACGCAATATTTCGAATCAGAGCTCCACGCCGCCGATTTAATGCCGGCGCGCCGCCGACGCCGACTCAATTTTTGACGCCGCCGCCGCCGATGAAAACGGCCGGCGCGCCGCCGGGCATAAAATTTAAAATAATGTAAATATGGTTCGGACGCCGAGAATTTACATGATACACGTGCTGCGTATATGTACCCCTTACACTACACTCCAAAAACAATTGATGATGTTAATAATGCACGACTCAACCTTGGATATTCTTACACGCATTCGAAAAGTACTCCGCGTACTTTTAGAGCATATTTTCAAATTGTATGCTATATAAATTTAAGGGTATTTAAGGTGAATTTTTGCGCAGTAAATATGATAGTACATACATATGTATTTGATATTTATTTTCTGATTTTTTGAGGAGGAAATCCTTGAGAAAGTATGTGGGAGAAATTCTGTCGGAATTTTGTTAAGAAATTCCTTGAATAATTAAGAAAAAATTCCTGGGAGAATTTAATCGAAGAAATTCTTGAAAATGATTACAATAAAATACAATTTCTTACAATAAAATCTCAAAATTTTCATGGAAGGCAAACTGGGCAAATTCAGGTAAGCTTTGTAGCAAAATTTCTGCGAATTTGGTTGAATAATTTTTTGATAAATATCGTACAAAAAATCTAAAGTTATTTGCTAGAACAAATCAATAATTTTTGACAAACAAGTTTTTGAGACAATTTTCAGGTACGCAGAGTGAAATTAGGTGGAGGACATTTTGCAGGGGGACCAAATTTTTGGGAAATTTCTGAAGAGAGATTTGAGGAAAAAACTTATGAAATTCTTGCGCAATGATTCATATAATTCTGAGGGGCAAATTTTTATGTGATTCTTAGACATGAAATTTGTACGGAAATTTTCTAGGGTTGAGTTGCAACAATTTTCTGGGATATTTTTGGGATGGAAATTTAATGAAAATTGTGGTGTACAAATTCATCATAAATCTAGAATCTTTTCTTCCGAAGAAAATTCTGGATGGAATTTTACGGAAGAAATTCCAGAGAAATTGTAATATTTTTGGGTGCTGGTCAAATTATAACAAAAACAGGTTTATCGACTTAAATAACGAAAACAAATTTAACTCGAGCCCAATCGGAAGAAATATGTGCAAGTTAAAATATGATATCCATCCATGACAAATATTTTTTCGAATTTAAATTTTGTATTTTTAAACAAAATACTGCATTCATCAACGGATTTTACGAATTAAATTGTAATTATGGAATAAATGCAAATTTTGTTCGCTTTGGTTGAGTCATTAAAAAGTGACAAAGGGACGAGTCTCAAGTTGCTCTCATCATTGTGGGAAAATTCCTCCACATGGTCCAGTACGTCTAGTGTCGAAGTGCACAGTGGAATATTTACATTGAACTAATCGAATATCTAGCATAATGGCCGCCCCCACTTTGGATTTGCCAAATCTGCTAAGATCAGGGACATTATCAGTGCTACTCTCATCCAATCCAAATAGTGAGGTATGGCGATATTTTGGCAAACTTGCCAATTTTGGTGAAGATATTCTACAGAAACAATCTAAAGTGTTTTGCAAATTATGCCTGGACTCTGGAAATTTTAAGGAGTAAGCCAAAATTAAATCAATTACCTTTATTAAAAAAAATTTAAATCTTAAATTTGGATAGGTACAAATCAAGATTGTAATATAATTTAGGTATTCTTGCCACGTAAGCACTGGAAATCTGCACACGCACCTGCAACAAAACCACCAAATTGACACGAAAACTAAAAGCCATGCGAAGCAAATGCAAAAATTGACAGCGTATTTTGAAGGGACGTCCAGGCCAACTCAAGCTTCGGACGAGAAGTGGAAACTGGGGCGTGAAATTTGTCTTTGGTTCTGTAGGGACCTTCCTCCGTTTCACACCGTCGCAAAAAATGGATTCCAGAATTTTTGTTGTGAATATGGAATCACTAATTCATCGCGGTCGTTACCAGACGAGCAAACAATAGGAAGTGCGGCTTTGAACGACGTGTACAATCTGACGTTAGGAAAAGTTAAAGCTGCCCTATCCTCAGCCGGAGATAGCGTGTCCATAACTCTTGATTGTTGGACAGACAATTACAGAAGAATATCTTACATCACCTACACATGTCACTGGTTAGATGATCTTTGGAAATTGCAAAATATTTCACTTGGAACTTCACCGTTTCCCCATCCTCATACTGGCGAGGCGATTGCAGCTGATATTCAACAAACTCTGAAAAATTTCAGCTTGGACGGGCGAATATTCCGAGTTACCACGGATGGTGGTGCCAACATAATAAAAGCACTGAAATTATGTGGACTCCAACGCCATCCTTGCTTGGCGCACGGAATGCATAATTTGATAAAAAAGGATTTTTTGGACAACGGAACTGAAGATTTAAAAACCTGCAGTGAAATCTTGAAAAAAATTAGAGCAGTTCACAGGAGTCTACTTTATAAATACGATGAACTATCCAGTTCCGCAACGGAAATTAAGGCTAGAGAAGAAACCTCCGAAACTGGTACTATTTTATTCTTGCATTGAATTAATTTATCTCCCTGAAATGAACAAATAAAAATGAGATATTTTTTAGAGGAAATTCTTGCACTTGACGATCAATATGACACGATGCTTTTGGATGAAAATTGCACGGGAACATTCACTACTCTCAAGCGCGACGTCCCCACGCGATGGAATAGCATCCAAACGATGTTGACGAGCTTTTTGGAAAACAGAGGTAATTTAGATAGTTTATTGAGCACTTAACCAATTTACAAATCTCAAGATTTGTTATTTCAGCGATTATTAAAGACGTTCTGGAGAGACACCAACTGTACGAGAAGATTTTATTGCCCAATGAAATTAAAGCAGCGATAGAAATTAAAAAAGTTCTCGAGTTCTTCGAAATTGCTACTGATGTTTTGCAAGGTTCCAGTTATCCTTCTATACATTTGTCACTTCTGATAAGATCTGAGATCGTCGACAGGTACATTTAATAAATTATTGGGCGATGGGAAATTTAATCTGTTATATATGCATACATACATATACAAATGTATTTATTAGAATTTCCATGCAAGATGCGGATTCCGATTTGACTAAATCAATAAAGAAAACTTTGTTGAGTCATTTGGAGCACCGGTTTCCTGTTACCGAAGATATCGTATGTGCATGCTTACTTGATCCAGGCATGAAGCGATTAACAATTATTGAGACCTACCTTGCTGAAAAGAATCAATCGAAGTTAAAATTCTTAATGCAAATGTGCAAGTCATATGGCACCCCGGTTCGTGGCGCTATTGTTCATAAAGAGGTAAATTTAATTTTTTCTGTATTCACACCCATTTTTACAAAATCAGAAAAACATCAAAACTAATTTTAAATTAATTAATTAAATTTGTATCCGCTCCAATAGGGCGCAGAGAATGACGTCAAGGATGAGCCAAAAACCAAAAAGAAGAAAAACTTTGTGGACATCAAAAATGAGTTGCTGAAGAAACATTCTCTGGTAATCCCTGATGAATCCTTGGACGCTGAAGTAAAGAAGTACCTTCTTGTCGCCATCAGCTCGGAAGATGTGTTGGATTGGTGGAGGAAAAACGAATATGGATTTCCAAATCTAGCAAATTTGGCCAAGAGGTTTTTAAGCATACAAGTAACTAGTGCGCCATCGGAACGGGCATTTTCGACGGCTGGGTTAGTCGTCACATCTCGCCGATCGTCGCTGCATCCGTTAAAAGTCAAGAAGATTTTGTTCGTGCATGACAACTATGATGCCATGCTCGATATTTAGTTAACAGACTGGTAATTATCATATAGTCAATCTAAATAAATTCTGACAAATGTATACTAAATGGATGAAGACAACGTTTGTTTTATTCAACCATAATCAACTCTAAATCTTATGTGATCCAGAGTTGTCTTGCATGTACCCATGCAATTTCAATGCATTACTTTTGGACGTTTCGCAGTGGTATGTCTACTTGATCACATTCTTACATATGCTCATGTCCCTTGATCGCGGCCTATTTTCGCCTCTAACTAATCAATTTACCATATTTAATTTTCAGAATTAAAATATTTTGCATGAAACTCATTAGACAGAATTCAATTCCCATGAAAATATATTCCACATAACTCAATTTCTACGAAAATATTTTGCACCCAATAAAGATTCTCTATGAAGATTCTCAACTCAATGAAGATTAAAATATTTTGCAAATTACTCAATTTGCATGAAAATATTTTCCACAAAGTTAAAAGTTAATACTACCGTTAAGTTAAGACGTAAAGTTAATAATTTTATATTATATTAAGTTCAGTGTTCCTGCTGTTTAAAAACACCTGCACAAAATTAGTGCATAAAAA